GGTGTTTGTAACCGTGCTCATAAAGAAAACAGTTTTCTTTTGTGTGTACGTGTGTTGAATTTAATTTTATATATATATATATATATTTTATCAATTATCATTTATATATGTATAAGAATCATCATTCGATGTCTTGATGACGAACAAAACAACTTTTTTCTCGGCGCACGTTTTTTAGTTTTTTTTTTAATGTCTGACACTTGGCCTCAGGTTTTGAAGTGATTTGCCGGAAAAAAAAATAATAATAAAAAATAAATAAATAAAAAATTGCCACACATTGGTGTTTGCAACCGTGCTCGCAAATAAAACAGTTTTCGGAAGTATATGTATGTGAATTTAATTTTTGTTTTTTATATATATATTTTTTATCAATTATCATTTTTTTCCCCTTTATTATTATTATTATTATTTGTTTGTTTTTTTTTGTCATTTTTTTTGTGTTCGCGTCGTTGTTCGGTCTGCATTGAGGAACATCTTTTCTTTTTTAATTGTGATTTTTTATTTTCGCGTATGTGAATATATATCTGTTTGTGACGATATGTTTATTCTGCCTCCTTATGAGTCGGTGAAACTCCGACGTCACAGTTTGTGACAACCCCTCGTTTGTTGTCCTCTTCTCCGTTGATCAACCTACGGTTTAGCGGGCTGTTCTATTTGTGACGATATATATATATATATACGGTTGCTGCGGCCCGAAACCACGAAACTGAACGGCCGAACGCACGGGACCCCTCGGGGATGCGTTCGGCCGTTCAGCCCGTACACGGACGATATAACTAATGACAAAAAAGAAAAAATCATAATAAAAATTTGAAAAGAAAATGACTTGTCACGGGAAAAAATAATTGAAACCACATTTGCCAGGGGTTTACGTCCGAAATGCGTTTGTGTACTTGGAAGAAACAAATCATATATGGATAACAATTACTAAAAAAAAAACACAGACCATAGAAATAAAAACTGAGTTGGGTTATCTGAGTGCACAAGCATGTTTGTTCCCACCATCTTTGTCGATTTTTTATTTTTTTGTTTGGCATAGCTACGTGCATCTACGCTGTTTCATTTCATCTTATTTCCGATTTTTTCTTTTTTTTTTTCCCTGTTCTTTTCGTGTTTAGACCACAGTTATTATTTCAAATGATCGTGAAATTACGCTCACTCGCAATACAATACTGTGCACACATGAATTGCACGTGCGAGTGGCCGAGCATGTTTTGACATCGACAAACACTCGTTTATCATGATGGGAAAAAAAAAAAAAAAAAAAAAAACATGTGTCATGGCCCAGAATCTGAAGATGTATATTTGCATTCTTTTCTGAGTTGTTCGTGCTGTGACGTGGTTCCCCTCTTGGTTTTGGAGTCATTCTATTTATCCAATATAAATGACAAATCCTCACAGGCCGTGGGGTCAAAATTAGGGTTGGCCACTCACACTTTTTTTTTTTTTTTTTTTTTTTTTCCTTTTCGTTGTCCCTTCGTTTACGTATATGATATGAATTTTTGTATTTACATACTTCATTTCCTCCATTGTCTAGTATGTACAAACACATTTGTACAACTTCATGGCATATGTAACACCAACAAACAAAAATAAATATTGTGAAAACCAGTTGTGTCAAAAACGTGGTGGATCACGAATTTATTTCGTTCTCGTCTTTTTTTTTTTTTTTTTTTTTTTTACTTACATATATTGGTTTTTCGTATTTGCATTGGATATTACAATTTTCGTAAACGATTTGGATGCGATGTTCATGCACATGTTGTTTAGTTTATTGTTCTGCATTACATACATTTCTTTCAGAATATACCGAATTTTGTTCTTTTCCTTTTTTTTCCATTATTTATTATTTTTTTCCTCCAATACGAATTCGGCGGGACGTTCGCACGTGTTGTGAGGGGGTGCCGACCATATATATATATATATATATATATATATATATATATATATATATATATAGATAGATAGAGAGAGAGAGAGAGAGAGAGAGAGAGAGAGAGAGAACTGGTCGGTGAACCGCAGGCAGTGAGAGAGAAAAAGACAACAAACTACGTGCTATGACAAACACTATCAAAGGAGTTTCACCGACTCTCAAGAGTATATATATATATATATATATATATATATATTGACTGTTGAGGGTTCAGCCTCCTGATGAGTCGGTGAAACTCCGACGAAACAGTTTGTCACAGCCCCTCGTTTGTTGTCCTCTTCTC